TCTTTTCAGTAAGGGAAACTGTTCTTAATTTGTTTCTGTATAAGAGACATAATGCATATAAGGCAGTTCTGGTTAAAACTTAGTGGCAAATCTGTATTCTATTTTCTCTTTTTAAATCAAGAAACTAAATAATTTCCATTCCAAAAGCATAGAATTCATGTTGACTACTAAGCCTAAAGAAATTAGGATACCAAGACAAAATATTTGACTAAAATTACTGCTGTATTTGAATTTTTATAAATTTAAATATAAGCAATTTATTACCTAATATTCTTTCAGGTATGGTAACAATCTGTCCTAGACAACAAAGGCTTGCATTTGTTGACATAAGAGATATCGATTGGCTGAGTAAGCTTCAGGATTGGTCCAAGTACAACAGTATCATCATAGACTCCATTGTTTTCCTGACTCTCACTCATTACAGCTTTGTCAGATGGCTCATGCCCCTACTGGTTGTAGAATGGTATCGCTTGCCACTGGAGCTACAGCCTTCCTGTTCTCTCTCTTAAATGTTGGGAGAGCTTTCATCCCAAAGCCCACGGAAGCTTCTCTTTGAATTTCACTGGCCTGTAATTTGTGAACCAATCACGGTCAAAGGCAGCCAATTACTCTGAGTAGCTAGACAGACCAACTGAGATGGCAATGACATTGGAAGTTAACTACAATGTCCACTGCAACTAGAATTATACTAGTGCTGCATGGAGTTTCTCCAAACGTCTGCCAGCACATAGAGAATCTTAGGTGGTTATTTGGCTTCCATGTGTCTTGATTTTTCCTACATGTAAAATGAAATAAAATCATACAGTTCTTTTTTTGCCTCATATGAGGGGACTGGGCATTAGAAAGATGAAATAAATTATGTGAAAATGCTCCAAAACAAAGATGCAATTATTAAAATTTAAAATAATATTAACTTAGTTCTGATTACTTACTGAATCAAAGGCCTGACTGATTTGTACAAAGAAAAATATGGCCGAGTTTAATCATAAAACATAAAATTAAGCCAACAGGAGAGCAATTTGGCAATAAACATCAAAAGCATTAAAATATTACATATTCTTTGCCTACTTCTAGAAACTTAAAGGAAATTATCATGTACATGGGAAAAGATTTAACTAGAATGATGCCAAATCATCTGTTCTATTTGTTATTGGAAAAATGTGGACCTGAAGATCCAGTTGGAAGAGGCTAAGAAAATTAATTATGACATATCTACCATATAATACATTCCAATACATATTTTTTCTCATGCATCCTTGTTACCTTGTTGCCTAGCACTGTATGACACATTGTATTTAATAAATGTTTGTAGAATTATCTGAAAAAAACTGTAGTTTTATTTACATATAGATTGGTTTGAAAAGATATCTACAACATCCTGTTACATGAACATATTCTATCATATTTAGAAAAATGTTGTGGAAAAGTATTTAACAGCAGAGAAAGATTGTTCAGTGATAAAACCTATAAAATTACTTATAGTATGATCCCATAGTCATATTTAAAAGTATATATCTACATGTAAAGAAAAAAGACTGGAAGGATACATATCTAGAGGTTAACAATAGCAATACCTGGTGGGGGTCATAGGTTGTTTTAATCTTCTTTTTAAAGACTAATGGAAAATTGAACTGAATTTTAAGTGCAGATTTAAAAAAGACTGAAGAAACTAGAGGTGAAAAGTACAGAAACTGAACAAATAGAATTTTAAAAATTCATTATGAAGCACTTGTATTCATCAGGTCAAACCATTCCAAGCACATCTAATGAATAGAAAGCCTCTCTCATTAGCACATAAAAGGCCTGAAATATTAATGTTAAACAGAGTTCTACTATCTTCTTCTGTGCTAAGAGCAAAATTGGAGGAGCCATACAGTGTGGACTAAGGACAGAAATAGGTGTCAGTGGCTCAGGGCTCAAATCTTTTCTGTACTAGTAATTACCTTTCTTTGAGCAAATCATAATTTTTCATTATCCTAGTATATTGATTTGGAAAAAGAGCAGCGAAATACTGACTTCTTCACAGGACTGCTAGGAAAAGTTACAGATATTAAGTACTTTGAACACATTCAGCTAAAGCAACTCGTTTTAACATGAGGGATTTAACATGTTTAAGTATTTTATTCTTCCTATAACCCACCTCAACAACGTGAGGGTAACACACTTGTTCAGTTTTACATTGTATCTCCCTGTCCCTGTGGATGTGGTGTTCAGCTGTTTATGTATATTTGTTGTTTTTGCCTGGTTATCAGCTCTCTCTCTGCTTTCTCGGTTTTTCTTTACAGACAATCTCTGTGAAACTGTTCAGTAAAGTGTGTGCCTTCCTTTGGCCAAGATGTCAACACTGACCTGAGCTGGGCCAACTAGACGCTTCTTCCCAGGGATGTGGGAACGAGGTGAGGGCCCAGGATGCGGAGCAGGGTTACCCAACAGCAGGGTCTTTAGTTGCTGCCCTAGAGACCCCTTTCAAAGGCCCGGGCTCTTCAAGGGTTCTCCAATTCTCTGAGTTACCCTGTGACCTAAAAAGCATTGCTTATGTAAGGAGCCCAGATAACAACTAGGGCAACTAGAAATTCTCAGCATAGTGCAGGGCCACTTACACGCTTACGACCTTCAGAGAGGACCCCTTTCCGTCAGCTTGCCTGAGCAGCATGAGCTCCTGTCCACCCTGGACACCCTCCCTCGGCATTACAGAACAGCAATTCTTGGTGGAGGCTCTTCTTTCCAGTATCTAAAGACTAGATTATACTGTCCAATGTGGGAGCATGAGCCACATGTGGCTTTTTAAATTTAAATGAATGAAAATTAAATAAAATAAAAAATTCAGTTCCTCAGTCACAGTAACCAACTTCAAGGCTAGTTAGTGGCCACTGGGCTAGCACAAATACAGAACATTTCCATGATTGCAAAAAGTTCTATTGGATACTTTATTTATTTGGTTGAAACAATTAGGCCTACACTGATTTTAGCCAACTGAAGCACAGATGAATGTGTATCATGCAATACGTTGTCAAGAATTGTTCTTAAACTCTAAAGGATAAGTTTTTAAAGAAATAAACTGTGAAGAAAAAAAAGTGACATACCTCAGGCTTGGAATCCCAAGACCTGGATGGATTTTGGCTCTGCCACTTGACTTGGGCATGTCACTCCACGGTTTTTGATTCTCAGAATCCTCATTTTTAAAATAAAGTTAATATTAACCCAATGGACTCCTGTACAAAGTGGTATAATATGGGTCAATGCTCTTAGCATTGTGCCTGACACATAGAGAGTTGATTCAAAATGGAACAATGAAGAGAATCTAAGTTGCCACTGGGCTAGGTATGCAGGAGGTGGTCTGAGAGTACTAGGGAGTGTACAGGATGCACAGCCCTCCTGGATTCCCTCCACCTACTGCAAAAAGAATTAGGATCGGATATCACAGGCCTCCCCTGATTGTACTGCTCACTTGCCTATCTTCCTCCCCTCCCCCAGGCGCACTGTCCCCGTGCCTCCCTACCTGGCATGACTTGGACTTTCCCTCTAGAAGCTTCTATTTTAAAAACACAGGCCAGTGAAATGAATGTTCTCAATCAACTGTGAAGGAGAACACGTGAATACATTAAGAAACCAGAATTTAAAAAGAAATACAAGCTTAGTGTTCGTGGTTTTGAGTCTTAAAGATGACATGAGTTGGCCCACTATGCTCTCTCACTCTTCTGTGGTGTCATTTGCCTTAAGCTTGTCAATAGCCCATCTGTTTAAAAAAATTAGTCTAAACTCAAAGGTGGTCTTTCTTTATCCTTCCAACAAATTTTAAAGATCTAATAATGATTACCATGTATGGTGTTAAGAAAACACAGAGAGAACCTGAACGTGTTAATTTTACTTGAGAAAAACTGAATATAAGCCAGAAAGAATATATAATATATGTAAGTCTCATTAAGCTGTCATTACTTGGAAAGATAGTTCCAGGGAAATAAACACCCAAATCTCACTCTTGCAGCTCCTTCTGAATAACACATTCAACTCAAATCTCCTATCCTCACACATTCTGTTGACTTCAAAGAGAATTATGGATGAACAAGAAAATGAGAATCAGGTAGGGCAATTATAATTCTGAAAAAGGAAAACATGCCAACATTGATTGGATTGCTCAGAAAAAAGAAAGCCATTTCCCTTCAATAATTTAACTGCTTAAAGAAGCCAGAGTGTTTAGGGGTCTAAATTTTTGTTGCTTTAAAAATAATGTGGAATTGGAAAATACACTTTCACATGTCCTTCAAAGTTGAGTGTATAAGTCAGTGGTACTCACTTGTTAAATTCAGCTTACATTTTCTGAATGCTCCCTCTGTGCCAGACCCTGCAGCAATCGGCCAGTTCAACGGACTGCTGAAAAGCTGCCCCAAACAAACTCAGCGTTCAAGCGGCCTAGAGGAACTGCCATTAGAATTTCAAGTTTTGTGTCTTTAAGTCAGTGTGATGACAATAAAAACAGCAATGAGGAATACATTTTGTATCCAGAGGAGAGGATAGACCAGAAGGAATGTGAAAGAAAAGCTACCCCACATGATAAGGTGTACATGTCTCAGCAGGTTACTGGTCTGATTCATACTATAGCTCAGAGGAAGAACACACAGTCCATATTGACAGGTCCCCTTCAGGGAGAACTGTCTCCAAGGATAGGGACCTACCCCTAACAGTATTCCCTAATAATACTCTTCTCCATAACCTATTCTGGCCCACCACGCAGGCACAGACCTTTCTCACCAGCATCACCTCCCCGTGGTAACCTGGCTCACTCCTCTACTCCGGGTACCGAGGAGGAAATCCTTGAACATGGCACGGCCAAAGCAGCCAGAGAGAGCCTGGCAGAACTGCTGATGTTTCAGGGTTAGACAAGGCAGAAAGCACAGCTCAGCCTGGGCCACAACTTACCTCCAGAGAATGAGATGAGGTAACGGCCTTATACATGTGGGGTGTCTTCAAAGGAATAGGGACCTTCCACAACAAAAGGATATTGGGCCACCAGGGCTGGGCAAAGCTGGGTATTTGGCATAAAAACACAGTGCATCATAACGAAGTCATTTAAAACTGAATCTGCAGGGGGCAAAGAGTAAAAAAAAGGAACTTAGGTTCTTAGAGAAATCTTTAGGAAAGCAAGAGTGTCTATTCATTTGTTCTTGGCCAATGGTTCTTATATGTTGGCTTGGAGTATTGTGGTTTTACTGTATGTAGAAGCACTGCATATAAACAATAACATTGACAGACCTTGAGACCAAAACTCAGTTTCTCTGGACAGTGGACAAAAAACATAGTATTTTAAAATAGGCAGCCTGTACAAATGCCGAAGGCCATCTTAGCTGCAATGTATTAAAAAAATACATATAATTAAAGAGCCATCCAGGACAGCACAATGCATGCAAAATTAACACATGGGCATTTCTTTGTCTACTTTACATTTTGTCTTTTGTCAATATTTGTTTCCCCTTATTTATTTTTCACCTCCTATTTCCAGAGGGAACAATGAAGCATTAGGAGACAATGGAATTATAGAAAAAGCTGGTGGTAAGAGCAGAGAATTGGTGAGAGAAACAAAAGCAGGAAAACAAAAAAAAAAGACAGGATAAAGGCTATGTCTGAAGTAAAACAAAAGCCCTCTGGTAGATCAAATTAGTGAATGTCCAGTATCTGAAGCTACTTGGTAGGCAGGAGAGTAGGAAGATGGCAAGGGAGACAGGGCCAATGCCAAGGAAAAGCATTACTGGCTTCATTTTGGATTCAGTGCTGGTTCTTTGTTGCAAAGACAGCACTGTGGAGTCAGCCTTGGTGGGAGAGGACAGGAAGGCAGATCTAAAGGCCTCAGGAACACTCCGTTGAAACTTGGAATCTAACTGTAAGGGGATTTTCAATGACAAAATGAACTCTATTGGCTGAGATTTGTGAAACTCATATAACTTTTCATAGTAGAAACTTACCACATAATAGAAAATGGTAAGAAATGTGAAAAATTTTTACTATATAAATTAGATTTCCAACATCTTTTTTAAAATTGATTTAAATTGGCAAAGTTGGAATCATGATTAAAGGTTTAACCCTTACACTCATTTTTAGAAATTGAGATATAATTGACATATATCTTTGTGTAATTTTAAGGTGTACTATGTGTTATGATACTTTTACATACTGTAGTATGACTTCCATCATAGTGTTAGCTAACACCTCTCTCACATCACATAATACCATTGTACTCATATAAGTACCAGTGATGAGTGTAACACCACTAGGTGTTACCAGTCATTTCAATCCCATTTTTCAGTCCCAGAGAAGCAGAGAAGGTGTCAGACAGAAGCTGTATAAAACTTGTTTCCTTAAGTTCAAAAGGACTTCGGCCTAACTTTAACACCTAGGGTCCCCGTTATCTGTTTCAGATACTTATTCTCTGAGGATAGGGATGCAATACTTACCAGGCTCCCAAATAGTAGTTTAAATTTTGTTCAAGCAGAGATTTGAGGCTGGCAAACTGGGCAATTAGGATGGTAACCAGCTAGCATTCACATTACAGTGTGGCTTTCTTGTTCTCTACTCATAGGCAGTAATTCTTGAGAACTGATTCAAAAAACTCATTTCCAACTAAAAATATTTTCCAAGTCACTCAATAACTAATGCTAGTCATAGAAGGAAAAAGTCTAGGAAACTAATAGGTCTTAGGCAGAAAATAGATGTTTTAGTAAATTAAGACAATGTACTGTCAAATCCAGGGATGTTCATTTCTATGATGTAAACCAGTTTCACTGTCTACTCTGACAGTTCTCACTGTATGGTACATCCATAAATATAATGGGTGTCCAATTCCTCCTCATTCATGAGGTTCATGGGATTACTTTTAGGGTCCAGGATGACTGTGGGGCAGATTCATATTTTTTGACTATGAGAGAAATACTGACTTATTCTTTATCTCCAAGACATGAACATTACTTATAAGAAATAAAAATAAGGAAGACTGTGAGGTATGTTGTTCGATAATAAATTAAGATATTAACCTAGTTCTAACATCAAAGATGGAAGGGTCAAGAATCATATCCCATGTGCCAGCTATAGAACACACTAATTTCTAGCTTCAATTTTTTAAGAAGCAATAATGTAGTCCCCACCTCAGAGGATGCTTGAAAGGAAGGACATATTTGTCTTCATAGGTTGTAAATACCTCACAGATCTTCCTTAGATGCCACTGTCCCCAATGTACCAGCATCTTCCTTTCAGGCAGCATTCAATTCAGAGAAGATGCAGTTTCTCAAATTGTACAATCACACAATTCTGTGCAAATAATTAATCGGACAGGGAAAACCTGCTGAATTTTTCCTGACCTTAGCTTCCATAAATCTGGTTTGTTTGAGGTTATATTTGCCCCTTGGAAGCAAGTAATCCCTTCTTAATGGGTCCCTTAAGCATTTCCTTTCTCAAGAAGAGCTCTTACCACCTTCTCCTTGCTCAGATGCCTTCAACCATTCCCCAACGCTTAGCTTTGCATTGAGGACATTCCAAGATCTGTGGCCAAATTCTTAGACCTCACCTTCCTTTTCCCACTTATGTATATGATAGTCTAACAAAGCCAGGCCACTTGAGCTTCCTTGTCCATTTCTAGGTCAGTACTACTGTTGTTTCTCTGTATGGAAGGCTTTGTCCCCAACCTCTAGTTACTAGTCACCAGCCTTCCTTCAGGAGCACTTCAAATGCTACTTCTCCAAGACACTGCTGGGTCACCTTAGCCAGTCAGTGCTCCTGAAGCACTGACCACATTCTGCCTATGCTCAAGTGGTTTGCACATTCTTTTAGGTCCTCTGGCAGGTTATAAACTTAGTGAGGAGAGGAGGATGATTTCTTGTTCACATTGCCTAGTCCAAAGCCACCAGCTTAGTGCCTGCCCAACAAGATACTCAACAACTACTGAATGGAAAATAACTCCCCTGGAGCAAGATACCCTGGCTTCTCTCTCTACTGCTCCCCAGTGAATTAACTACGTAAAAAAACTCAGATAATCTATTTACAAAATGAGACACTGGAATAAGGAGATAAAATAAGTGAATCAATGATATAATACATATAATAATAATGATAGCTTTACCTTAGTATATTGTAAACATCATGTAAGTGGACTTTGAATTATCATTAAGTTTTTGAGATGAAGCTTTGAACTTCTTTCAGTGAGAAATGTCCTATGATCTCAGTGTACTTACAATATTAACTGATTATTCTGAGATAGGCCAGGAGCATAGGATTAAAAAAAGTACAGTGTAGGCAGTTTCAAAGTCATGTATGGATGGCAACCGAAGTGGAGAGTATTATCACTCTGAATACTTAGTTCACTAGTGAGATTCATCTCATTCATCCTCAAATCTGTCTTAGTAATTTGAAAAAGGACTTAGTAATAAAAAAAGTCCTTAGTAATAAAGTCTTAGTAATAAAAAAAAAGTCTTAGTAATAAAAAAAAGGACTGGTTCACTATAAGGTGTTATTATGGGTTGAATTTTGTTCCCCCCAAAAGATATGTTGAAGTCCTAGACCCTAGCACCTTAGAATGTGTCCTTATTTGGAAACTGAGTCTTTGTAGATATCGTTAAGAGATCATTAGGGTGGGCCCTAATCCAGTGACCGGTGTCCTTGCTCAAAGGGAAAATTTGGACACTGAGGCAGATATACAGAAGGCCCCAGAGAGAATTCCATGTGAATGTGAAGTCAGAGATGGGAGTGATGCATCTGTAGACACAGGGAGTGCTGGAGAACGCCGGTAAGCCAGCAGCAGCCAGGCTGGACACATGGGACAGATTCTCCCTCACAGCCCTTGCAAGGGACCAACCCTGCTGTGCCCTTGATCTTGGACGTCTAGCCTCCAGAACTGTGAGACAATGAATTTCTGGTCTCTAAGCCCTCAGTCTGTGGAACTTTGTTATGGTAGCCCCTAGGTAACTCATAAAGGTGAGTGTTTAGTCATACTCTGGGTCAGCCCAAGAATGTACATGCAGAAACAGAACCACTTCTGATTTCCAGTTAGAGCAAAGTTGTACCTTTTATGTAGTCAGCTTTAAAACCTTTATGGGCACAGGTAGAATTTAAATTATAACCCAACAGATGTCTATGGAGGGTGGGATTTAAATGATAACCTAAGAGATGCCTAAGGAAGACTATTCCTATTATGAATAAGACTGAGCCATCTGCAAAAGAGCCAGGACTGGAGTGGGCAGAAGAGGGTCAGAAGGACTGCTCCCCACTGGGCCACACAGGGATGCTCTCTGTTTAAATAAACACAACCCCCTTCTAAATCAGTTTTGGCTACACACTGAAAATCAGTTCAGGATGAATTTAATGGGCACATAAAACTCTTCTAGGTGTTTACCTGTTGCTTCATTTAAAGCTGGTTCAAGGCGTATTGTTTCTAGAAAATGCTCTAAAATTTTTTCAGGTGTTCCTGACATAACAGTATACCTGGACAAGAAATAAAAACATCATTAGTTTTTCAAAAGAGGGCAAAGCCTTAATAAGTAACTTTTCATACGTCTGGTTTTTTTGTTTCTGGGTGTTTTTTTTTGAGATTCCAGGGAACCATACTGACTTAATTTATAGCCCATATTCATATTCTCCTTAAGGTAACAGAGATCATCTACTTTGTCAAAGTCCAACAGGAAGACGATGTAAAATCCACAAACTAAAGTAGTGCCTAAAATGTTAATCTTTTTTTCCCTACATGGAACTGAAGTGAACTTCTTAGAGAGTGGCTCTGTCAGGCTGAGAACTAGCAACTTCAACCTTGTTCAGGGGAATGAAGAGCAACATGTGAATCCCAGGGCAGTTTGGGTCAGGCAGAGGGAACAGGCGAGAGGGGAAGTGACAGTAAACTAGGTTATCCATATATGGGTTACTTGTAGCAAAATTTCAGTCCCACATTGGATTCCCCTGCCTATTTCTGGAATGCTCTGTCTTCCCAATTGTACATTGGTATGTGCTCTGGAAATGCAGCTAAGAATAAAACAAGAGAAAAGAAAAGCAAATCCCTAAACACCAAGGAGGAAACACACTACAGGAACATCTAAACAGGAAAGAAAAATCAGCAGAAACCGATGTAATGTATTTCACTATCAAATACACATTATTTGGAGTATGTGTGTGTTGGGGAGATGGTTAGTCATTATTTCAGAAGACTCATCTATGGGGCTCTTCAATCAATAAGGGAGGATTTATTTTTTAAATTGAAGTGGGTTATTTCAAAGTTGTATTGAAGATACTAACAAAACAGTGAATGAAAACTATAGGCAAAATACATTAAGGTGATCTGGGCGCTTCTACCCTAAAACTCCTACTCTGCTCTTCTGTTCGGCATTTCCCTTAAAGAAAAATGATAGGACAGAAAAGCAACAATGAAAATGAAATTCTCTTATGTTCAGAAAGCAGTGGTATATATAACTCAGTTCCCCATTTCTTTGTCTCCTCACCAGCACCTTTTCTTGCCTCTCAGACCTTGCAGGACATGTGCTGGAATCCCAAGAATATCTCTTGATATATTAAAACTCAGGGTCTTACCCTCCTGCCTGAGGGAGTGAAGAGGTAATTCAGCACAGGACCCTGTGCAGGTGAAAACAGAGAGTGAATGAAGCCACCCGGGTACTGAATGAGGTACAGCAAACACAAGCCTATGGGAAGGAGAGGTAGCCATTAGCTAGAACGATCCTGTGTATGTGTGCACGCACTCGGGACCAAAAGGAAGCTGCGGGGTTAAATCTTGGAGGAAAAACCTGGCTTTGGAGCCTAGAGGAGGAGTGAGGGAATAAAATTAATTATTCTACTTTAATCTCAAAAGTATGCCCCTTTCTCAAAGTAAATAAGGTAGAAGAACTTTTCCTCCTGTCAGCAATGACTGTTTGATGAAAGGAGAGGGCATGTCTGTAAAAGACTTGCCACACTTATGTAGAGAAATTTGCTGAGCTCTTTCAGGAAGTCCTGAGATACATAACTTTGATAGCACCCACCCAAAGAAGGAATTGGGCTTGGAGAGGGCATTCACTATCTGTTGAATGCTTACTATGCCCTGGACAGCTAGGCAGGCACCCAGCAATGCTGTCACGTTTACTCCCGTTAGTTAAGTATTATCCTTATTCTGCAGATGGGGTAAGTGCTCAGCAAAAGGAGGCAGCAGACGCACGGTCACAGGTCAGTAAATGTGAGAACTCTGCTGTGAGACAGGCCTGGCTTGGAAGGACAAGCGTGTATCTTATGGTGCTGCTCTGCCTCCACAGCAAGGTGTTCCAGACGCAGGCTGCTGCGTTTATGTTCCTGGAGCTCAGCTGAACAGCAAGTCCATCATGCGATTTAAATCCCCTCTGAAGGCTGGTTTGTCTGTTTGCTTCTAAAAACAAATTTTGTTTCACTATGAGTGTAACTGTGTTACGTAGATGCTAGTAAACTGTAAGCTCAAAAAGGACAAAAAGAACTACAGAACTGATTGATCAGTTGGAAATTTGTTCCCTTGTCAAATATTTAACTGTGACAGGGGTTGGCTTCACATTCTAGTGTTCTTGGTCTGGACATCCCTGAGCTGGGGTATTACATCTGGTCAAAAAGAATAACGACCTGGGTGTCACCTGACCAGACAGCAGTGGCAGCTCTGAACTCCACCCACCAGGTCCATCTGACACCGGCAGATCTTTCTTTTGCTACCAAAGTCTCCCTCTAGTGGTACAGCTGCCCTGGCTGCCGCGCCCCACCCTTCTCCCTCCTCTCAGCGACACAGAAGGTTGCTCAGGTGGTGACATTCTCTTAGGGCAGAGAACTCTGAAGAGACAGGGCCAGGAGCTTCGGGCCACAGTGGTGAGTCAGCTCGCAGGGCCAGGCTTGGCAGGAGCGTTGCATTACTGCTCTGTTTCAGGCTGGACACTGACAGGCACCAAAGGCTTGACTTCTGCTTAAAGGAGGGATTTGAAGACCAGACAGCACGGTCTTTTCAGTTCAGTGCAGAAAGGAGCTACTCTAAAGAGAAGCCCACTGGTTACATCATCCAACCTGAAGTTTTAAGCCTGTGACTGAAAATCTTTTCCTAACACCAAGTCTGGATATGAAGACACTTCTCTTTGCACCACAAGAGGCAGGGGTGAAAGGGGACCCTGAAAAGTGACTTTCTGCCAACAGGATGGAGCTGATCAATTGGGTGATTGATAGTCTAAGGAAAAAGCAACACAGTAACTAGAACTAGAATAGCCATTTCAAATTCTTCTAAAACCAGATAACCACAGAGAAGAAAATATCCAAAATGGTAAATATTTGAGGGCTCCATATAGTTGAGCCATCGTAAGAAATACTGTCTGGCTATTTATGTTTTAATATTACACTCAGATTTGAGTGGCTTGGGCACAGTCAGGCAGTTTTGAAAGTTTAAAATGTATACATATATTATTCTGGATTTCTTAGAGAGAAAGTAAATCAGAAAAATAACATTATCACCACTAACATGACTTTCTCTGAGCTCAAAAACAATAATTTCTGAGGAGATAGAGGCCCTAAAAGTTCCTAAACTTTTAAGTCTATCTATAAATACTGTGTTGCCCTATTATTGAAGTTATTCAGAACATCAGGCCGAAATTCACTTACGTGTTCCACCCCCTTTTTCACCTCTGGTCTGGTCGGGGAAACCTCAACATGGAGAGTGACCCCGTTAGAGAGTGACTCTTTACCTTTCAGAAACTGATTTTTGTGGTGCATGATTTTATACTCACTGACATTTCTTAAATGGTTTGCTGTGAGTATGCACATGTTATTGCATTATATAAGACTCTGGATTTGGTCTGCAGAACACACGAGATATAACAGAAATCAGATCCAGGCCTAAAATAAATTGAATACACGTGGCCTCTCCTTTTCTCTTCTCTTCAGTTTGATTTAATAAAAAATCTATATTTGGAAGGCTTTCTGAATAGAAGCTGTTGTAACAAGCAAATGCTTTTGATCATTTCCCCGATGGTATAAGAGGTGAAGGAAGGAGGCCTCAGGGGGACTTTGTGGCAAAATGTTTCAAGGTTAAGGAGAGTTTTCAAGGCTCACTCTTTCAGGTAGCAAAGTTTTCTGAACACATCTGAGGCATTATTAAAGAATGCAGATTACCACTATGAAATGCTCTAGTTATATTTAAGAGCACAAAAGAAAATCACTGAGGGTAGTCTGAACCTACACACAAAAAATGTTTTCATTCACATCCTTCTCTGTGGGCAGAAAGGACAACTGTTGAAACCATTTGAGCAAGAACATTTTCAAGAATAAATAGTAGTGAAACAAAAAAAATAAAAAAAGAACCCTGGATGGCAATTTTACAGGTTTGTAAGTGACAGGACAGTTCTCCATATAGTCCATTTCATGTCAGCCCGTTTGAAATACAGATTGGTTTGCAATATTTATTGGATAGCATTGAGTTACATATTTTGCCATAGTGAATTGTGAGTCTGAAGGAGCAAAAGCATAGAAGCTGGTTAAGCTGGACTTAATCCCGGCTCTACCATCACAAGCTTTGTAATCTCAGGTAAGTAACTTGCTTTTGCTGAGCCTGTATTTCTCCATCTGTTAAAAGGGCTTGTAATAAAGATTACATTAAGTAGGCAACATACATCTTGGCTATTCAATAATATTACAATTCTTCCTGTATTCTTTGCAAATATATAGATTCACGCAGATGAAAATGTCTGAGCCTTACTTGGGCTTTTAGTCTAAACAATACAAATTCATTGGTCATAGTGAGTGTCTTGATTAAAGAGAACACTCCATTTGTGTGTCAAACAAAGGAAAATTATTTGGGATGTATTCTTTTCAACACATTATTTGGTGACTTTTTTTTTGCTACAAAATTGGTGTTTTCATTATACTAAGACTGAAAATTAATCTTTATTTTAAAAATGAGCTTCTGTTAATATCTACAATTTCTTAGAGCTACATTCCTAATTCTCCTATCTTGCTATTCAAATTTTGGTACACTTGATGAAAATGGGGGAAGTTGCAGCAAAAGATGGAACTGAACATAGATACACTGAAAAAGGCTCAGGCTAAAAAGGGGCCCTGAGAGATGTGAAGCAAATGCCCCTTTGACATTAACAGGAATAAGTGTGGATGAGGACAAATGGATGCTTCTGGGATGCAATCAGTAGACTGCACTATATTTGAAGTCCACGTTTCTGTCAAAGTTGCTCATTCTGGTAATAAGATGAAAACACTTCTTGAGAAATTCTACATATGCAAAAAAAGGCTCTCGTCACCCAGGGCCTATGTATCCTGTGAGCTGCCTGGCATTTCTATTTCCACTGTGCTCACCAATGCCTTCTATTGCAAAGCTATTACAGTTGAACCATGTATATAGAGAGCGTTTTCAGAGTAGGGGAACATCCCCCACTCCCTGAATTACTCCAGGCAGCACCAAGCTCAAGGCAGTGCCAGAACTGATACATTATATTCCACAAGATGTGTGATTAGTCAATAGGGAGAAAAAAGTCCCCCACACTGCCATCTTCCACAGGAAGGGAGAACATGCTATTGTAGAAATGATGATACCATGTGAAAAGGTTAATCATAGTCTGGCGATTGCAGTGTTGGAGGCAAACCTACTTTTGCTGAGGCTGTGAGTTTCCTTGATTAGAAGCCCTGTTTCCTGCTGGGACCTTCTCCAGCACCAAGACATCTTGGTCATGTTCTTTAAGTCTGACTGTATTCGCCTCAACGTCCTGCAAATACAAATTATACCACATACAGATGCTGCCATTTTTCTCAGACAATGAAAAAAATTTCAGATGCTTCAGAAACTCATTTGGCACTTGTGATGCTAATTGTTGCATCTACAAATGAAGTCATTTTCAAAGTCAGGGCTGGAACGGTCAGAGACAGGATCAGATGAGGTTTGAGGCATATGGTTTTAAAACTGCTTTTACCCCAGATACAGGAAAACAGCAGAGTAGAGAGGAGGACGGTTATGCTCAGAGAAAGCTTTTAGAGAGTGTGGTATAGCAGGAAGGTAGGGGAGTAGATGCACATATTCTTTATAAATATATGTGGCAAATAACACTCAGCTTCAGAGAAGTTTTCTCATCCTGATTTTCTTCTGAGGGTATTCAGTTTTCATAGGAGTGGTACCTTTTTCTCTCTAATAAAAAGACTTAATTTAAAAAAATCAGTTTGAAATTAGTCAAAAATATTTTTCAGTTGTTTCGAATAGTTTTACAAACTGCATCAATGATAATGGTCCGTTCTTTCAAAGAATAATTCTTTCAGAGTATAAATTCCATGTGTGTAAACCTCAAAGTATTAGTAAAGCTTACCTCTAAATTTCAACATCATCTTAATAATCAATTAAAAATGTTTAATGTGCTTTTCTTATTATTTGGTACCCATTTTAAAAGAGATCAGATAAAAACCAAGTCAAATCGCATGTTATTTTTTCAATATTATTCAATGTGTGATTTTTAATTTAACTTTCTTTGTACTAAGAGAATGAATGCTTTCCTAAGACAAACTTTGCTGCAGGAAAATTTTTCCGCCAAAGTCAAATGCTTAAGGCTGTGTAGATATAGGTGTCTGTACCTAAGGAATGGAAAATTATATTGTAAATCATCTGTAAATAATGGCAAGTGTACCGGAAAGCACAGAAGCTGCATTTGGGATGTTAGGGTAGGAGGGAGAGAGTTGCTGAAACTGGGAGAGGCAGAGAAGGGAGTCTGCACTGCGAGCCAGCAGGGAAGCAGAAAGGGGATCCAGTGACCCTAGAGGGTATGGTCTCCCTGAGTGAACTCAAGCTTAGGCAGGATGTGCGACAGGCCACCTGAAAGGCCGGGGTGATGGGACACCATCATCATCCCCAGCAGTCCACAATCAGGTCTACCAGCCAAAGCTGGGCCGTCCCTCCCGAGCAACCAGGCATGGTGGAGAAAGACCAGGAACCATCTCTTCTAAACATCACCCACTCTCACAAATACCTTAAGAAGCTTAGATCCTGAGGCTCATCTGCAGAACCAACTTCAACTGCAATTCCATGGCTCTCTCTACCACCCCAGTTATTCTTCACCTACTTGCTGAAGTCTGAAATGCCTTTAGCATGAATCAATTTGACATAAAGCACTTGAAATGAAAACACTTCTTTGGGGTAACGATGATTGATGTTAATTCCCACTAACAGTAATCCCTCAATAATTCAAGAGTGTGTGATGATATATATGAGAAAGATTCAGATTTGGGAAGCAAGAGGAGGTGGAGGCAAGGAGGGTCTAGGAGAGAGAGACAGAAAGAATGAGGGAAGCCTATAGAACTGCCAAAGAGCAACAGCTCAGACTTTGATGCTTTGCCAAGGGAATCCCACTTTTTCTTCAGTTCCCCAGGGCCAGTCCCTGTTTGTGCAGGGCTATTTGGTCCAGTAGAGGGTACCACACTTGCAGCTTTACTGGAATACCACCTCTGGCCCCTGGAACTCACACCGCACGCTGAACACACCAGGTTTGTGCCCAAGGCTTTTGGTTCTCAGAACGTTTGTTAATCATGGCACTGCTCGATTCATGCTATCGTCAAATCTTTGCTTCTCTGGCAAAAGGAAACAGGGGATGCCCCTCAACCACACTTTGCTCTGGACACACCCTCAGGATCCGGTTGAAATCTTCCTTGTCTACTCTTAAGAAATGGCAATTATCTTCTCTCAAGACGATAGAGGCAGCTCTCGGGGCATCGTTGACTAGTGCTAACTTGCCAAAGTCATCTCCTTCGTGCAGGGTGCAGACCACGCCCTGGAGAGGATGGGAAATTCAATGAAGACAATTCCCAAAATACAGCAGGTCCCCGCCCACTGCAGACCAGGAGCCCCACTTCCCCTCAGACACTGGGTCATACATGGGCTATACCCAGGGATGCCAGGGGGAGCTACATAATTAAACCATAATGTCTCACATTTCTTTCATTGGGGAATATGGGCTATGGCCTAATTTACATATATATATTATAATGTATAAAAGGGCACCAGAAAGTTCAATGCTACTCTGAATTTAATAATTAAGATAATTTATTATTAGAGACCCTGTAATACCTTTTCTACATCAAGGAACAATGTTGTTCCAAATTTAACTGTAGCACTGCATTGTTAACACTCAGAGCCACACTAATAAATGGAGCATAATAAAGTTTCAAAAAGAAAAAGATATACATACCTTGCCATAAATGACTACATTCACTGATCCTTTTAGAATAATATACCAGGAGGTACCTTCTTCCCCCTGGTTAAACACTACATACAAAAAGATAAAAAGACTTATGACAGGAACAGAAGCACATCAATATAAATTACAGCTTATCAAATTGTCATTTTTAAGTCCCCAGAATTACTCATTTATTCCAGAGGGAAAAAAATTAATGGCAAATACTAACTTATTCAGATGGAATATGATTTTTTTTCTACAGAACATGAAAGAAACAGAAATACTGCACTACTTGCTATGCCCTTAAAGACAGGTGTTTACTAGACATCAGTTCACCAGCAACCCATTTCTTAAAGCAATATACTTTCCCCCACAATTCAGCAAAACTTATTATGCCACAGAAAACAGGCTAATCTGACCAGTGATATGAAGTTTGAAAACATGGGAATCAGCACCACAGGTTGTGTATGGATGCATATATACATATTTTTTAAAAATGTGTTGGAACAATAACCACTACACGGAGGATGAGAGTCATGTGGGGAGGGAAAGGAAAGAATGAGGTAAAAGAGCTATCAATAGTGTCTATAATTTTATTCTTTAGAAAATATGGAAAAATGTGGCATAATGTTAGTGTTTGACAAAGGTTAAAAAGGTGCTTGTAATAATCTATTTTTATTTGAACTATTTAAATGTTTCATAATAAAATGAAAACTAGTAAGTGTAAATTAGAAGAATAAAAGGGAAGTTGCAAGTCATCCATGATCATAAATATTAAAAAAATGAATCTTTAAAATTAAAAGAAAGACCATCCCTACTAAAATAAACATCAGAATCAGAAATACCACTTTTGATGACTGAAAGTAAAACATTTTGAAATATAATTTTGTCTTTTGTTTTACATTTCATTCTGCCTGCTTATTTGACTAACACAGCCTGAAGAGTGAGCCAGATTTTCTAAAGAACATCTCTTGAAAAGTTAACAGGGGTTTAGGAAGTTTTGGTTTAAATGGAGTGACCATTTTTCTTTATTGCAGAACTTCGGAGAACCTTAGCATGCTGATGTGTCTTAGGATTCTCCAAGACAGATGACAGCAGGCGGCATCTCCTGACACAGCAGACCACATTAACCTCATCTGTCAAGAAGGATTTGGTAGAACTTGTGGGAAATGACAGTCTAAATAATTTTGTTTATATTTATTAATATCAATTTCAATTTCTTGCTTCCAAATATGATCAGAGAACTAAACTACAGATTGGGTTCTGGAAAGGTACTATATATTAATACTGCATAAGTATTTGGGGTAAAGAACTTCTTTCAGGCTTGGAGCTGATAGTGGAAGTGAAAGAAGGAAAGGCAGCTCGGGTAATTTATCATTTTAACTAGCAAGCTCAAGAGTGACCATTCTTCTAAAGCCAAACTGAAGTGAGGCCACTGTGAAAAGTCTTCCTTAGGGTCCTGCCTGAGGAGCAGTGACTTCATTCTGTCTTCTTTAAACACTATCTTGAGCAAGTAGGAAGACGTGGTGACCCAGGCAGGCAGCTGCTGCAACTGGTGCTACAGAATAATGTCCACACACTGAGAATAAACACAGGGCCCCAAACACAAGAGTGCCACATGACATCCTGCCAGGTCTGACCCCGGCCCAAGAAAGGGGCACATCTGCAGTCAGGCTCCTGTGGCCTCTGCTGGTGAGAGGGCTGGCCAGGTGCCATGTTTGGGTGTAGCTTTCACTTACACACAGTTCCTCCTTTGGCATGAGACTCAAAAATGAGAACACCTGCTAGTTCCCGCTTCACCTACGAGAACAAAAGAGAGAATGGGGAAAACCCAGACAGTCAGAATGGGCTTGTTCTCTTCCTGCCCAGCACTACCAGTGCCCTTCATCCCACACTCCCTCTCCCACGGACCCAATCCCAGGGGCCCTCTCCCAAGGACCCTCTCCCACACTCCCTCTCCAAAGGCCCTCTCCCACTGACCCGCTCCTATGGGCCGTCTCCCACTGACCAGCTCCCAGGGGAACTCTCCCAGGGGCCCTCTCCCACAGGCCCTCTCCCACAGGCCTTCTCCCACTGACCCACTCCCATGGGCACTCTCCCAATGACCCTCTCCCATGGGCCCTCTCCCAATGACCCTCTCCCACGGGCCCTCTCCCACAGGTCCTCTCCCACTGACCCTCTCCCATGGGCCCTCTCCCACGGGCCCTCTCCCACTGATCCTCTCCCCGGGCCGTCTCCCACTGAACACTCCCACGTGCCCTCTCCCACTGACTCTCTCCTACTGGCCCATTCCCACTGATCCTCTCCCACGTGCCCTCTCCCACTGACCCTCTCCCATGGGCCCTCTCCCATGGTCCCACTCCCACAGACCCTCACCCATGGGCCCTCTCCCACAGACCCTCTTCCACTGACCCGGTCCCATGGGTCCTCTCCCACTGATCCTCTCCCACTGACCCACTCCCACGGGCCGTCTCCCATTTACCCTCTCCCATGGGCTCTCTACAACTGACCCTCTCCCATGGGCACTCTCCCACTGACCCTCTCCCATTTCACTTGTTGCCAGTCCTATCTAGACCACTTTAGTAGATTTGCCACCAGATTCTCAAAAGTTTTACAAAAGCTATTTTATAAGCTAATTAATGCAAGACAATTCCCCCAGGGACCATCTAAAACATGGTTTCATGCGTATGAAGTAGCCCACTTTTCTGGCTGACTCGTCTTGGCTGAGACGGCGAGAGCAGCCACAGCGCCCTGTGACGGTGCTGCTTCAGAGGCTCTTCCTTCCATCACACACTAGGCAACGCTGTGCACATGTGGGGAATGCAATGTCTTGAAGGTGAATAATTAAGCCTAAATGTGTGAGCAAATTTATATTCCTAGGTAGCTAAACTATTTTTTAAATTTCCAATTTTGGTCCCAAATTATGGCTCTATTTTCCTAAGAACTAACTAATTTTCCTAAGAACTAACTAATCTGAGGGTTTCCCACAGTACCTGGGTACCTAGGGCTTGAGATGGAAGAGGAGGCTGCCCACAGTCCTCCCAGTTCCACCAGCCTGGGGGAGTCAGAACGGGGCCAGGCTGGGGACCTGCAGCACAGGGAGGGAAGAGGGGTCTTCCCGCACTCCCCTCTGTACTGAGCTTGTGGGGTGCCAGGGGCTCCCCAGGTGAGGCTCCCATGGGCAGAGTGAGGATAACAGGGGTGGTGGGGAGCAGAAAGGAAGGCTGGGCTGGATTGCACCCCTGGATACCCCAGGTCTGTGAGCACACTTCCGGACCCCCAGCACTGTGGTGGGGGGTGGGATTTGAAGGCAGCTCTGTCTGCACTGAAGAGGAAAGGGTTGGAGCCCTTCTGCTTGAGGCTGTGGCAAATGCCTTCCTGCTCTCAGCAGAGACCTGTCCCCTGTCCCCCAGAGCAGAATGCAGGCACCACTACCATGTGACAGCGCTTGCCTCCTAATGAGCTGGAAACACAAGGCAAATTAGGCATGTGGATATTGCTGAGGGGCCTTAGTATATAATCTGTGAACACAGACACAACTTCTTTTTATTATTGTTACTGAATTATTAGCATATAGGAGACAGTGTTGCCTAGAAATCATATTCCTATGTTCCTTCTATGGAATGAAATGTTTCTATTCCCATTCAGAGGTCTAATTTCTGTCTTTTGCCTTCCTAAATGTCCTAGGCACATAAAGGCCAGAGTCACATACAGCTACTGGGCCATTTTCACCAGTGGGTACTGCTTTTGTGCCCTAATATATCTCAAATATTGCTTTCTTGAACCTTCTGCATCCTTTCTCAATAAGGCAGCAGACCTGGACAACGCTGGCTCCTTGGGCCAGGACAGGACACTTCGATTTCTCTCCTGCTTCCCCCTGGTTCTTCAGTTTGTGGAAGGGCCTTGGAGCCCCTCTTAAGACTTGGCTGTCTTGCCGGAGTATGTGGGTTCCAAAATGCAGGTTTTGAGGATGAGGCACATGTTCCAATCCTACTCACACTACACTGCTTTGGTGTTTAGGGCATAAGGACAACTACTACTAATGGGATAATGACCCCCTTTCAGTGACTGTTCTTGGGTGTAACTTCCTTAACATCTCAGAGAGAGAGCAGGGGTGATTTATAAGGTAGAATCAGACATTCCTGTACCTCCTCCCATACCATAATACTCTCCTCAAGTCTTAACAGTGCATTTCAAGTCCCCCTGACCATGCTCCCCCATGAGACAACTCACTGTGGTAGAAAGATGGGATAAGGCTTTAATGTGAAGGAGCTCCTCATAGATAATCTCCAGGTCATCCACTGTCCTCTGGCCAGGTCTGCAGTGAAAGGAGCAGCAAGGAAATAGTGAGAAAACATTCACTAAAGCTTCAACTACAGAAATGGATTCAGGGGCCAGTATCCTCGTTAAGGGATTCCTTAGGAGAAATCCCTGTAAAAAGATAATCGGCAGAGGGAGAGCTTGTGCCATGATAATCTCCAGAGGGTTTTTTGAGATGAATGTGTCTCTTGATGGGAAAACGTGCACAGCCCTTTCCCTTCCCGTCTCAGGGAGAACATCCCCTTTCACCTTGTTATTGGCTGGCTTAGTTCTCACTTCACTGGTGATTGCTCTAAAAACCTGCTTTTCATTACTATTTTAATCAACAACAACAAAACTCATCTGTTAACACAGCTAAGAATAAGTGTTTTCATCAACTGAATGATTGATCCAAATTCCTTGGCTTCCTACATGCTGTCTTAGAATAACAGTCCTGCTATTACTCTTGTTCCGGGCTATGTAATATGTTTCTACCATAGGACTCAAATAAAGGATGTATACAGACTAAACACTTCCTTATCTGTCCTCAAGGAGATGAGAGCATGAGATGAGCAGAGGGCAAATAGCAGTGCTTCAGTCAGTAAGAGAGGGAAAACGGAGGCACACAGGGCTATTTCCCAAACTCCATTCCACAGGTGACTAGAGCTCAGTGAGATGTTAATCCACGTGCCATCTAAAGTTTTTTTCAATTAATTATTATAAAACCAGTAACTAATAATCTGCCTTAAAGCATGGAGTATGGGGGTGTTACGGACATTTTGGCATGGGAGGACGAGGTGGATTTCTCAACATCTTTCGTGTCTATAATTATTCTGTAATCACTAATAGTGTTTAATTTTATACCAATGAAAATGGATATGATTGGTCAGTAAATTGTTCTCAGCAACAGTAGGAACCCTGACTAATATGTTTTTGAAACTTAAAAACAAACAAATGGGTTATCAATTCTGAAAGTGCTAGGAAGTCAATCTCCACACCGATGGACAGGCACCGTTCAATCTTAGCTAACCGCTGTGCTCATGCATGTGACCTATTACACAGTCATCAGTCTATTTTGTACATTTTGTCCTAAAACATCAACAACTTATGGTATTATTAAATGTTACTAATATTAAGCATTTAAACTTTATTGAGCTACTGATGGTGTTCCACCCTTACTTACATCATATTTTTGGAAGCGTTCCTTGGTCAAATAAATTCGGAGAGTGTTGGTGTACTGAACAGAGCGCTGGGTCACAAATATGAAGATCAAGTTTTAACCTCAGTACAATCACTCACCAGCCTGTGACACTGGAGCCTCAGTCTCATCTGTAAACTGGGAAGCATACCTTCCTGAGACAGATGCGAGAGCTAAAGGGAGCAGTGAATGTGAAGGTGCCTGTATATTTATTTGTAAAAATAACCCAGCAAAGTGACATTCAAAACTCAGGGTTCTTGCTACTTTGCTTAACAGGTTAACCAAACTTATCAGTAAAGTATGACATTTGGGCCAGCAAATTATATGTAAAACTTTGTCAGTTATTATATAAGTACTCTGTGCAATCAAAATTGAATTACAAGTATTCTGAAGTAGTTAATTGGATTAAATAATTTTGCATCCATAACATGACATGGGGTCGCTGACAGATCAAGTAGGGCTACTGGAGTAAGAAAACTCTTTGCATACCTTGCACATGTCTCAAGGACAGATTTAACATGAACTAAAGAATATGATCAGTCTTCTCTTATACCATCAGTGGAGGATCTATTTCTGAATCCTGACTATCCAGACAGGTTGGAAGTCCACGACTCAGGGACTTTGGCTTACCCGCTGCCAAGGATTACCACTGAAGGACACACTGGGCACCCATCCAGTGCTTCATGGTGGGACTCAGGAAGTACAGGCCCCAAGACACCAAAGAAAAATCTATGGCTACAGAGGCACTGAAGGAGCAGGCCTTCTTAGCAAGAGGCCTAATCCACTACTTGACTTAGACATGGGAATTTTGAAACTAGGACCCTTGTGGATTTAAAAGTCAATTGAATCACCTCAGTCCATCCACTATGATAGAGGCAGCTAATGTGAAAGTCTCAAGGTAGGCATAATAGGATTACGGCTCTTCAGCACAAGGAGGAGCCTGCTGTTCTTGCTACTTGACATGAGCTGCAAATAATATGGACCCTCCTAGAAGCTTAGCTAAAAGAGAAAACAGTTGTCAAATCTCATTCTCACCTCCATGGGGTGGGCTGTTAAAGAGGGAGGAGAAAAGCTCAGCTGGGAAGAGGGTTAGGATTTAGCTCTAAAATCTTGAAGGATTCAAAATTGGCATTTTGCAAGCAGATTTCTATGCGTTTAGGAGTGTTTACCAGTATCAGTATGAAATGCATACTGATCAACACTTTAAAAATTAAAGAGATGCTGCCTTTAGAACTACAAATCCCATTACATTAAACATGATTATATTTCATCCAAGAGTTAAAACATATGAAGGACTCTGTCAGATCCTCAATGTAGCATACTAAAAATTTGACCCAGTGGCTCAAAACTGCTCTTTGAGCCATTATAAGAAGTCCAAAGACCTGCACCAAAGTGTGGGAGAAGAGAGGCAAAGATGGCAACATTCAAGCTAGGGTGAGACCTACTGCTTCCAGGGGCCGCACACCACTGAGCTGTGCCCCAGCGCCCCTCCCCAATATTGCCCCACCCCTGGCTCTCTTTCTGCTTTCCTAAAATTTCTTCTCACGTCTTTTGGTCCATTGCTCTTTTGCTCACCTCCTGAACTGTGCTGTGCCTGAAGGCTCTGCCTTCAGTTCTGTTCTCATTTTGTGCTGTCTTCTCTCCCTGGGAAAACTCCCCAGCTTTCATCTGTATAATGCCAAGACCTAAATCTGTAGCTCCAAACAGATCTCCGTCCTGAGCTGCAAGAGCTCTCCCACCATCTCCTCCCAGATAACCCACAGGTACCATGAGCTCGGTCTGCCCAGAAGTGCTCCCCGACCCTCACATGAGACTCTTTAAAAGCAGATCTCAGTTTACTTTTCCAGACTTATCTATCTCCCCTCTCTTCACACCTTCCCTGTGGCTCTCTTCTCTGCCCAGCCATATTGGACATCTCCCCACTCCACGAATGTGCCATACTTTTCCATGTATCTAAGGCTTCTACATGCTCCTCTTTTTGCCTAGGATATTCTATTTCTGCTTCAAGCCCACCTCAGCTGTCATCTTTCCTAGGTAAAACCGGTTCTTCAACCTTTATTCCGCCATGGCTTATGGTCCTACTGCTGTGTAATTACAACATATTATGAATGATATTATTTGCTTAAATGTACATAACTCTGGACTGTTCTTCTCAAGAAAAGCAAAATCTGGTAGTGTAAAAAGCATGGGATTGGAAGCAGACACTGCATTTGAGACCTAAATTATGAGCTTGCTGGGTACTCGATTAGTCTAAGCCTGGTTTCTACATCTGTAAAATGTAACAATAAACAGGATTGTTGAAAAGATCAATGAGTCAATACACGTGAAGCATTAATACACTGAAAATGTGGCACAAATGCAGGATGGCAGGGTGGATGTTCGATAGGGCTCCTCAGTGAATGAGTCCCCACAATTAATGCTGAACTCAGGGGCTGTGAAGGAGATGGCAGCAGTGTCAGGGACTGGCTCTTGCTTTGTGGCCTGAGGGGGATGGCTCTGTTATCCTTCCTCCTGAAGGTCAAGCAGGACAAGGTGCCCATGACACTGCTTACTCTTGGTACAGCACATATCTGTCTCATGGCAAATAGTTAATTATTAAGGAAGGAGGAGATAGGACGAAAATGTTGGGCCTCTCCTCTTATTCCAAATCCCATCAAATATTTGTAGAAAATATACAGAAAATGTGTATTTTCCATAGGGTTATAGATTTATTCATCCAGCTGTGAGGAAGAAACTACCATGTTGGACCAGCTGAAGTTACTCAGTCTAAGTCAAGGTCAGTTGGGGCCTTGATAGAAGTCACCACCCAAGACCAAGTAACCCCTGTTGGCCATTTGGGGCCAGATTTTTGTCTGCCATGCTAAAGGTCTGATAGGAAAGATATTTTAAAATCCAAAACAACATTGAAAAGAAGCACCACCACCACTGACAACAAAATAGTACTGTTGGCAGACGAGGGAGTTTTAGGCATTCTTGGACAACAGAAAGCAGATAGGAATAAAATGTGTGTGAAATGACTGGAAGCAGTCACAGCTCAACACAGAAGAAACCACCGCAGGAAGAAGAAAGCACTGCTGGTAAGACAAGGCTGGAGAGAGCAGTTCATCAGAAGACAGCTACCCTTGGGTCAGTGGGCAGTGGGGTGCCCTCTCCCATGCCCCACACTGAGCAGCATGCAGGGACAGAGTTCACTGCCAGGCTAAAATATGAGACCTGCTGTCTAAGACAGTGCCCAGGGAGAAGTCTGACAGAGAAGCAGGGCCGAGCATGTGAGAGCCCTGGGCCCTCCTGCCAGACACAAGGAGGAGAAGGGCAGGTAGCTCTCCCGGGAAGGCAATACCCAGAAGGTCTCCACTCTGGGAAATCCTCCTTAGTTTGGCAATTGGTGGGAGGAAGGGGGCGGGAGGGCATCAGCCTGCCTGCATGTGCCTCTCCCAAAGCCAAGTGTGCCAGGGAACATGGTCTCCACCGCCCTCAGGGGTGGCTCTGTCGGGGTGGACTGCCGCACCTGCACAGAACCCCATGTGGCAGCTCTCCCTGCCATCTGGCCTTCAATGGATCTCTGCTACGGAGAAATAGACTTCCACAGGGACTTGCGGGATGCTGCGGAGAGAACCATGGTAGCCGTTTGAAACAGAATGGAACAAAGCCTAAAAAGAGTTGAGTCTCTGAGTCCTAAATAACATTCAAAATGAAAGGAAAAAAGCAAACAAGCAAGAAAAAAAACCCAACCCTGTGTCTACAGTGGTCACTGTAATCACAGGACAGGCTGCTGTCATTTGGCACTCCACCTAGGTAGCAATGAACTTTGCTGTCCTGTT